ATAATCATAAGAAGCTTATGGATATGTGTGCCAAGTCTAAATCATCATCTACTCATCATGCACACATATATAGCAAAGTTTATAAGTGTTCAATTTGCGGCCGTAAAGGCCATCTAGCTAAATTTTGCTATGATGCACAAAAACATAAGAATATTAATCTTTCTTGTGCATCTCATGTAGCTTCTTCATCACATACACATGCATATGCTTATCATGCACATCATAAACATGCTAATGTGTTCAAATGTGATCTTTGTGGACGTTTTGGCCATTTGGCAAAATTTTGCTATGATTTGAAAAAGACTTCACTTTTGCCAAATGATTTTAAAAGACCACAAAAGTTTAAATGTGATGTTTGTGGTAGATATGGCCACTTAGGAAAGTTTTGTTTTGATAAGGTTTCGCATTTGCAAAATAATTTTAAAAGACCATCCATGTTTGCAAATGTTTCTAATGTTTCCCGTGCACAACCGTTTGGTCAACATAAGCAAATGCTTCCTTTCCATTGTACATATTGCAATCGGAAGGGTCATTTGAGTAATTATTGCTATGACCAATCCCGTGCACCATATGTGCCTAAGAGGGTTCATAACCCTAGGGCTTTGAGCTTTATTGATAGGGGTCATGTCCGGCAAATCCGACCACAGATACGGCAGAAGTATATGATGACTTGCCGGACGAAACCCACGAGGTTAACACTACGTCGCACCAACAAGTATGGCAATTATATTTCGATGGTGCCTCAAGGTCAGTTAATAGGGTAATAACCCCGGGAGGTTCTACAGTTTCCTCTGGGGTTGGGGTTGTCTTAATCTCCCCGGGAAAGCATGTGATGCCTCGAGCTTATTCATTGACTAGTCCGTGCTCCAATAACGTAGCCGAGTACAACGTGCTTCTCATTAGACTCAGTTTCGCCAAGGAGCTGGGGGTCGAATATCTCGAAGCTTTTGGGAATTCTCAATTGATAGTCAACCAAGTCCGGGGAGAGTATGAAGTCAGGAACCAGGACCTGATCCCATACCACCAGGAGGCCATCAAAATGGCAGACTCTTTTGAAGAATTCTTTATTGAATACATCCCTCGTCTTCAGAACGCTTATGCGGATGCACTGGCAGCACTAGCAGTATCACTTGCGCAGCCTCCTGAAACTGAGCTGTTAGTCACAGTAAGGACGCATCAGCTCTGCATACCCATATACGATATGGATATTGAAGAGGAAGACGATGGAAACATAAACGCCAAGGAGGTGAATTCAACTCAAATTGGGTCTGAGTCCCGAGATTGGCGTTTTCCCATCATTGACTATGTCCAATATGGTATTTTGCCAGAGGATGTAAAAGAAAGAGAATCAATTCGCCAAAGATCGCCAAGATTCTTCTATAATGCCGAGACCCATACGTTATACCGTAGGGGGTACGATGGTTTATTACTCCGATGCCTTTCGAACAAAGAGGCAGAAGAAGTTCTTAAGGAAGCGCACGAAGGAGAATGTGGTGCACATCAGCCTGGTCCCAAACTGTATGATCGCATCAGGAGAATGGGATATTTCTGGCCAACGATGGTTCGAGATGCAATCGAACACGCACGAGAATGCCACACTTGTCAGATACATGCGAATTATATGCATCGACCGCCAGAGCAGTTGCACACGTCAACCACATCGTGGCCGTTCGAGACATGGGGTATGGACATTGTCGGTCCTATTTTCCCCCCTTCAGTCAAAGGCGATCGATTCATCCTCGCAATCACAGATTATTTCTCAAAGTGGGCTGAAGCAATTCCGCTCAGAGAAGTGAAGACAAACAACGTCATCAATTTCATCAAGCATCACGTCATATACCGACACGGCGTGCCAAGACGGATCATTCATGACAACGGCCCACAGTTCATAAGCAACGCCTTCGTCAGGTTTTGGGACAAGCCCGCTGCGAACGAACTAGCTGAGGCTTTCAACAAGACGATCATCAAGATCCTGTCAAAGCTCGTGAAGACCAATAAACGAGACTAGGACGATAAACTCGGTGAAGCACTCTGGGCTTATCGCACCACCATACGCACACCTACAGGGGCCACCCCGTATTCGTTGGTATACGGATGTGAAGCTGTGCTACCATTGGAAATCCAAATCCCATCCCTTCTGATCGCTCTCGCAACCGAGATGACGACAGAAGAACAACATAAAAAACGTCTCGAAGAACTCGAGAGGTTGGATGAAAAGCGCTTGGAGGCTCAGAAGAACTCGAGAAGTTGGATGAAAAGCGCTTGGAGGCTCAACAACAAATTGAGTTATATCAAGCCAGAATATCTAGGGCTTTCAACAAAAGGGTCCGACAGAGAAGCTTCAAGGAGGAGATCTGGTCCTCGCTGCTCGCCGACCGATAATCCTCAATTCCAAGAAGAAAGGTAAATTCGAACCCAAATGGGAAGGACCGTTTGTGATAGACACAGTCTACTCAAACGGTGCATATCGCCTGATTACTCAAGAAGGCACCAGGCAATTAATGCCAATAAATGGGAAGTTCCTGAAAAAGTACTATCCCTAGTACATTCAGGATAACCCATTTACCGGGAAGTTCCTTGAAGAATATTACACTTAATATTCTAGAGGATAACCCAAAATCTTTTTCACCACCAAAATCCCTCACTGATCAATTTCAATTGACAGTGGGTCCACTAAAAATGTCTTTCTGGCCCTCTTGACTCTTTCCATGAACAAGAGGTCCACTTTCATTTCGGAGTCCCCTTTCGATAAACGAAAGAACTCCTTCCCTTTTTCTCTTTGGTTAAACCTTTTTCATGGTTATAACCGGAGTTGAAAATTTCACTTCGATAAACGAAGAACTCATCTTCAGGATCGTCCCAAGAGGAGTGGCGTCGGTTGACGTGCCTAGGGAGAGGTTGTAACCGAGCACTTGAGGGAGACACGGCTAGGTCCAACACTTAGTGGGTGTAGAGTGTGATTGCAAGAGTGTGAGTTGTAGAGTTTTCGGTTAGCTAGAAAACCGAGTGTGTAGAAGAAGTTCCGGCTTCCAAACCGGATTGTATTAGTGGATTTCTCCCCGGGAGTGGGGAGCGGAGACGTAGGACGGAAGGTCCGAACTCCGTGATCATATTGCTTGTTTGAGTGTGCTTTGGCGTTCATTCATATTTATGTTCATATCTTATATCGCCATTGTGCATTGCTCATTTCTATATCATCCACTATCTTGTTTAGATTGTTTATCCTTGTTAGTTTATATATCCTTGCATATATATTTCATCATATAGGATATATCTTGTTGCTCATATTGCTTATCCTAGCTTACAAATATTGTTGTATTTCATACTTGCTAGGATAACTTGTTAATTAGTTTTAATTGGCATTTAATCGGATTAGATTAGCATAAGACCCTAATCACCCCCCCTCTAGGGTCCATCAATTAGATGGGGTCCACATTCCTCTTGTAATCTCTAATATGGTGATAACTAGGGGTGGTAAACAAACGAATCGAATTGAAAACTAAAATATTTGTATTTGTATTTGTTTAATATTATTGAATTTGAATTCTAACATGAATATCCACTTCTGGAGTTTTTCAAATTCGGACTCGAATACTTGATATTTGATAAATAATCATGGATATTCACGAGTATTATTGAATGTCAAATTATATTGATTCCGCTAAAGAATTTAATTTTTAAACAGTATTTAAATTCATGTATGAAAATTATTTCTTTAGTATATATATTTAATTCAAATATTTCATTAGAAAACTAATTTAAGATTCTTTAATTTAAGATTCTTTAAGGCTCTCAAAAGAAGTAGAAATATAAGTGAGTTGAAGATATAACATCATATGCGTAATACTACAATTATAAGCGATCAAATTTAAAACAAATAATATACTATCGGGTTAATATTTTTAGAAAACATGTCTTGACAATTACATATATTTTCCTTGGATATGGCTTTTTTTAACACACCTGCATGAGGAACAAAGGAAGACATCACAACATGAATCTCAAGCTAGTAGTTTCTAACGAAAGATTAGATGAGGTCCACATTCCTCTTGTAATCTCTAATATGATGATAACTAGAGGTGGTAAACAAATGAATCGAATTGAAAACTAAAATAGTTGTATTTGTATTTGTTTAATATTATCGAATTTAAAATCTAACATTAATACCCACTTCTGGAGTTTTCCAAATTCGGACTCGAATACTTGATATTTGATAAATAATCATGGATATTCACGAATATTATTGAATGTCAAATTATATTGATTCCGCTAAAGAATTTAATTTTTAAACAGTATTTAAATTCATGTATGAAAATTATTTCTTTAGTATATATATTTAATTCAAATATTTCATTAGAAAACTAATTTAAGATTCTTTAATTTAAGATTCTTTAAGGCTCTCAAAAGAAGTAGAAATATAAGTGAGTTGAAGATATAACATCATATGCGTAATAATACAATTATAAGCGATCAAATTTAAAACAAATATTTAATAAGCAAATGAATTGAATAAATACTTGGTTAAATTATATTCATTAATGAACTCAGGTAACTAAATATTATTTATGTAGTGTTAAATGAACTATCGAATCTAATATGACCGAATAGTTGAACAACTAACGAACTGTATGTTAATTATTTGGTTCGTATCTGCCCCTAGTGATAACTACACTAAAAATACTCAATTACTTGTCGGTTTTGTCCTTATTTGATTGGAAAGGGAATAAGAGGATGCAGGACTTCCTAGTTCATTTTACATATTCTCTCGTCCCCCTAAATTGAAGGAATTCTCTCTCCACTTTTTTAGTTCATTTTACATCTTCTCTCTCCTCACGTCACTTTACTTTAACCTTACCCTCTAAAAACTCCGCCGCCCCCCACCCACCCCACACACCCCACACAAAGCAAATAGTAGAATATTCTATATTGAAGATAAAAACTGATTAAAAGGTTTATAACCTCAACGCCATATAGCTTAAACAAATGAAGGACAAAGCAAGGGAAATAAAGTTCTGGAAATAGTAAGGACCCACCGAATATTTCCCAAGAGAGTACTGTTATAGGCCTCTATCAAAAAGAAAATAACACGAAGAAGAAAACCCCATGAAAGTTTCTTCCTTGATCTAGTTTTGGTTCATAGTAGATGTTCTATTGACTATGTAGATCCTCGTCTCTTAATCTTACAATTCATATATGAATGGGAAGAATAAACTCCTCTTTCTACTATGCAAATCCCTATTTCCCAATTTACAATTCAAGCCCATGCTAGCTACTTCTAGTATACAGTATCTTTGAGCCAGATCGAATCTGCCTCATTGTTACGACTCCTATCCGAGGTGAAAATTTTAGAAGCACCAAGGATATTCTGTGACGTCTTCATTAAACTATACAGCATATGTAGATTGCTTGCGTAACATCACAGAACCCTGTTGTGGACATCGAGCATGGCACCTTTCTCCTGATAAGAAAATAAAAAGGAATAGAGAAAAGTTTAAAAAACGAAAATAACTGACCCAGCAGGCAGACCAGATTCCTCTATGTAGAAAGTTAGCTGCCTTTTCTGTAGTTCAGAAACCTTGCTATGATTACAATAAGGGGTTTTTGACTTTGAACCCAAAGCTTTACCCGCATTTATTTTAACCCGAGAACTATCAATATACCTGTACACCCAAAATACTTCTAAACTTTACCTTTAAACCCATTCTCTTTAACAATCTCTATTTGCATACGGTATTTGAGAGGAAAAAGACAGTTTCAATATTATTCTTCCCCAACTTAAAGCTACTCTTCAAGCTAGGATCTATAATGTAGATCTAACCAAACTTTATCCATTTCTGAGGTCCAACGCTGCTGAAATCCTCCAACCGACATTAAAGGTTGATGTTATGTATTTTTTTTTTAACATTAATGAATCCATTAGCATGAAATGAGTACTGTTTGATGAGATAAAAATCATGTTCTCTGAATACAGTTATCCATTTGCAAGTTGCAACTATGGAGAAAAACAGTATGTTTCATCATTATGTGCGAACCACATTGGTTATAGAAGAACTTCAACCAACCATGAACCAAATTTCAACGGCGAACTTCTTCGAGTTCCAGACTTCCACTTTGAAGTTCAGGTCAACCGCCAATCGACCATGAACCTTTGGTACAAATTTGGGAGCGCTTGAGAATTTGGTAAATGGATTTTTTTTTTTTTTTTTGAGAATTTGGGTCGAATTTGGGGCTCTACAAACTGAAACTGGGGCAGGTTTTGAGCTGTATTGTTCTCTTACAGGGAAATAGAAATTGGATATGAGTTCTGAGAATGGGGTTCCCTAGGGTGAAGGTTGCTTTGGTTGCTTTCGGTGATGTAATGACCATTGAGAACACTATTGGAGGGTCTGACAAAGAGGAGGAGATGTTTGGGATTAGAGGAGGATGGTTGGTGGTGTTGGAGCTTGAGAAGGTGGTTGGTCCAATGGAGAAGGGAGGAGAGAAGGGGAGGGAATAAAATTTTTAGGGAAGAGAGGGGAAGGGCATTTTAAGTTTTTTATTTTTTTTAAAAATACTGTATACAAATAAGATGTATTTGATGTTTTGGGTCTAAGGATAAAAAGAGAAAATACTTTGTGTGTATAGATATAGATAGAAGTACATGGGTTTATAGATAAATGGAGTTCAAACTTTGGATCTAAAGGCATGAATCTAAAGGCTAAAACCCCATTACAATAATAGACATAAAACTTGAGGACACTTGAGTCATGTATGTGAAAGAATGATAGGGAGCATGAAGTTCGGAAACACCTCCAGCAAGAAAGCATTTCCCTGTATTTTGGGGAATAAACTGGTAGCAACATGGTACGATGACTACGGTTTCAATATAAATTCTTTCCTGCACATTAAATGTGGCAGGCAGAGATTGCTGTCCCACTTTTTAGTTATTCATGTGTCTAGCATGCATAAAACATCGAATTTTTTTTTGTTTTTGGATACTCATTTTTCAGATTGAAATAGCAGAGCATTTGTATGGACCAGCTTTAGAAAACTTTAGAATAATTAGCAACAGTGTGACCTGTTTCCGGAACAATCTGATGAAGTTTTGATTAAGCTTTAATGAAATGTCAAATAACATAGTAGATTACGTACAGCTCAAAGGATAAAACAGAAAGTTAACATACCTCAACTGGAGTGCTGCTTTCAGCTGGAAACCAGCGCATGAGACTCCCCAGATGCATTATAGCAGGTATAAGCCTGAACATTAGAGGTGTGGTCACCTGCAGCAAGAAAAATTCAAGATTGGGCAAAACAAAAGTTTACAATAATAATAATAATAAAATCCCAACTAGGAAGAACCAGAAAAGACTCACCAAGCTAAGAGCAGTAGTTCCTAAAAGTAAAAGATACATTTTGCCCTGTACATCAAATATTCTCATAAGAAGGAATCTCAGACTGAAAAGCCAATATACCAAATTAACTAGGAAGACGTGGTAAATTAAAAAAAAAGATAAATGAGGATAATTGAGAATAAATATCATTCTTGCTCAAAACACTAAATAACAATCAATCAAAAATTACATTTCAGCGTATGTAATATATGTTTGAACCCTTTCAAAAAGATGGTATAAAAGCTAATATCTGCTCCACTAACCAAGAATGTGGTTTATCTTCAAAGCAAATCAGTAAAGTAAATAACGAACCTCAACGAGATGCAGATTCGAGGCACGGCTCAAGAGCACAAAAGCAAATTCTCCTATTTGCGCTAATGACAAACCAGCCTATAAACAAACCGAAGGGACAAAAAGGAAAGTCAAGATATGGTAAAAAATAGTGTTCTCATCAATACTTAAAAGCATAAACAGTTAGGATCAGAAAAAGTTTTCAGAATAAATCTTACAAGAATTGATGTTCTGATGTTGTACCGGAAGGCTTTGATCACGGTGGTTATCACGATAGTCTTAACTACTATTACAAGGATAACTGATGCAAGCAATATATCAACATGGATCCACAAAAAGTGCACATGTATTAGCATTCCAATGCTAGCCAGGAAGAGAGCTGCAAATAAGTTCCGGATTGCCTCCACCTTTAATGAATAAGACCAGCCAAGAAAAATATCTTAGAATGAGTATCACACTTGAGAAACAGATTCATGAAACTTTATACGCAGATCATCACTACTCACTATAATTCAATTCAGATTACCTAAGATGAAAACATGGTTTTCACACAAATTAGACTACTGCCAGCAGATTCAGCAAGCAAGAATTAAGTAATAAGAACTTTAGCCATATCATGGGACTAAACATTCAATAGTTGATATGCAAAATCAGCTAACGCTAAACAAAAACAAGAAACATTGACAAGCCTCATATTTAATTACTATCATTTGTTGCTTAACATTTTCTAAGATCACATGATGTTTCATAGCTACAAACTAAAATATTTCTTCCAAGAACTATAGGGATCATTCTCTTTTTAATGTAAGTTCCACAATAGATGAATGCCAAATGCACAAGTTATTAATTTGGAGAATCACCGTTTCGCTAGTCAAAGGATGCCTATAGATTACTCACTGTTGTGCCTGTTAAAGAGCACAGCGTAACTTAACTAGGTGAAATGAATTATGAAAAGAATAAGAAATTTGTTCAGGAGAAAGGATAATCTTCTGACAGATTATAGCATCAAGTAAAGAAGAGCGAGTGAAGGGTAGTAAAGGAAGAGCATACCCAGATGGTACACAAAATAAATCCATGACAGAGACTCAAGAAAGGTAAAGCTACATAGTGGTACACTGGCATGTCCAAAGGATGTATGCTTTACAATAATGACAACCTTTACGTGCTAAGTTCATACAGAGAAAAGAAGCGCATTAGCCCTTTCTTTTTCTTTCATTTTCTATTTACTCCAACATCATGGTCATGCAATCAAGGGATAAGAACATAGGAAAAAAACGTACTACTAACCTTCCCGGTCATGGCAAAAAATAGTTAGAATAACATATAGAGAGTAGTGGACACTTTTGACTGATGTTTGATCGGTGAATCAAAATCATATTTGCCCACTATGAAAATCAATAGAAACATATCTTAGATTATCTATTTGTAATTGTTAAAGGAAGGCCATGCATGATAAGCTAAAACATAGTGATAGTGATAGAACAAATCTACTACTCTATACTTATAGGAGGATCCAAAGATTCACTATTCATACTACAATAAATTACTGTAGCATAATTGTAGCAATATCTGTAAAACATTTTAAAAAGTGCTGTAGCGTTTACAAAAAATCTGTAGGATTTAAAAAGAATTACTGTAGCAGAAATAAAAAAAGTTCGTCATGCTTTGCACGGGGTGCACACTAGTACAGAAATCTAGTAATATCTCAGCTTGAGAAAAGGAGACTAGCTGGCTTAATTATCATGACTATGAACCTGTATAAGCATATTCACATCTGCTCCTACAAACTTATTTATATTTCTTGCAGCAAAATGTTCAAAACGATGAAGGACAAACCAATTGAGATGCTAAATCTATTTATTATATGTGTTTACATGTTCAATGAGAAAACAACCTAGTTTTTATAATAATATTCTTTTGATGTATAGGCATATCCATATTTTCTCCTAGAAGTGTACATATATTTGTTAGAGGTGAAGATTACAAAAGGAAAAGCTCAAGTTGAATGCTATATCTAGAGAAGTTTCGATCTTTCATATTCTGTGTGAAAAGAAACTGTCCCTCCACCCTCACCCCCATCCAAATTATCCAAAGAAAGCGGAACTTAAAGAAAAAGATAGTATAATTGTTAATGTTCAGTGACCTTCCCCACATTTAAATTTCTTAAATCCATCTCTACAACTAATACTTTTTGGAGGACATGAAGTCAAATTTACTTTTATATTTACAAGGATACAAATCACATAGAACCATAGATTTCCAGTAGAACCATAGACTTCAAGGTTATATACCCTGACCAGAATTTTTCAGCAGATAAATACCTTAAACTTTCCATAATATACTCCAACAATTCTAACAATACACTCAGGTTATAATACTGCATCTTCTTTCATTGAACATCCAAATTTATAATTTAATTTATTCTAAAGTCCCCTTTATCTTAACTTAAATATATGATAGCATTTTTTAATTAAAAAAAATGAACGAGAGGTGGAGATGATAAATGGAGGCAAGGTGGTGGCAAATAAAGGAGGTGATTGTATTGGCGGAAGAAACAAGAAGAAAGTTAAAGTGATAAAGGATAAAAGGTGCAAATGGAGGAAATCCAGAGTACACCATAAAATCTTAAATGATAAGTAGGGGTATCAAACGGGCAAATTGAATCCCATGCCCATCCGCAGCCAATCAATAAAATTCATGTTTTGAGTAGCCTTAACACTCATTCAACTGTAAGTTGATAAACCCACACCATCTTTGGTTTCAATATTTAGTTTATCCGAATATATTCACAAGGAAGGTAAAAAAACCGCATTTCCGAAAGTGTTATAATGTGTTTCGTGACGAAACATGGGCATTTCATTAAGAAAACTTGGCATTGGGATGCTTAAAATCCTTCTGCAGGCTCCCAATAAATAGAGGGTAGAATACAAAAAATAGAAAAAATAGAAGAAAGCATGAATTATCACCTCAGCTTTAACAATACCATTCAAGAGAATCAAGAGAAATGCATGGTCAGTGATGCATGGATCACTCAAATGTATAAACAGATAAGGCCTTAATTCATTATATGAGAAAAACATTTGTTTACGTCTTGACTTAATACATCCAAAAAGAATTACTTTTAAGATGAAAAAAAATTACATTAACTTGTTCAAAAGATAACATGCTTATAATTGAATGGTGTACCAAGGATGATGTCTTTGTCACAATTTAATTAGTCAGCAGATATAATATTTCTACTCTCATTCTATCCAACGAGAACTAAAAGCATCAAGATTTAGTCCCACAAAGTTTTCTTCGTGACTAAAGAAACTAAGGATGCCAGATAGTACTGTGATAATAAGACAAGTTTAGCTAAAACTGTATTATTCTACTAGGGCAAGATGCTTGTTTGAGAATGTACAATAGTTTGAATGTACATTTATTCCAATTCATAAACTTGATAAACAACTGGCTGTTACGTTACATACTCCAGAGGTTATGCTTAGACCTAAAGCAACACGAGAATAAATAATGTTTATGTTATGTAACTACTTAGGTCCTTTCTACAGCATATAATCATAAGGAATCAAGAGCCTCCAAGATATTGGCTATAAATTTTATGGAAGTAACTATTCTTCCTAGTAAGAACACTATCACTTAACCAAGCACATATTAACCACATTGTAGATTCCCTGATGTAATCATTTTGTTGATCAGTTGGTTTCCGCTTAAATCTGATCTTCCCTTCTGCTGTCAAAATAGAAACAAACTTAAGACATAGCACCTGTTAAGTACTGGCAGGTATTTAATGCAACTGCATCACCTTTATTGAATTATATGTGTACCACAGACTGCCAAAAAACTATTTAACGTATGTTCGATGATAAACAGTTAATGCTAGTATATACAGGATTTTTCTACAAATCATCCATTATTTAATCTTAATGCCAAAAGAATTGCAGTTCAGAGGGGACAATATAACAGTTACGCATCCAGATTTATACTAAAATTTAAATATATGGCAATCCAACCTTTAATATAATAACAAAATAAGCTGAATGGTATAACTACATTCGCAATAGAAAATTTACCTGGTCCAAGGTATGTTGCGCAAAATCAGTTGTGGATATCATGACTCCAGCAACAAAAGAGCCCAATTCGAGACTTAGGCCTAATTTATCACTGCTCTGAGGAGTAAAAGAAGGAAGTGAGAAAGTAATCAAGATATGGGACATAACAAATACAACATCTACAATCTAAGATGATTTGTGATGGCAGAATGATTACGATACACAAGCAAATAGTTTCAACTTTACAAGGAGATAACAGAGCAAAGACTTGGGTTTCCTCTTAAAACTTAAGCTTCAAAGGTCCACGTACAAGAAGACAAATTCCACTTCAAATGGAGAGATTATGTTGCCTGCTGTTATGGTGTTTTCAATCGCCAAAGTGCAACCCTTTGCCAGCAACGGACAGGTGTACTTCTCCATACAATATCCCAATCAAATTAGCAGCCCAAGACTAACAAGGGTTCCTACTTAGCCGACTCGCCGAGTCGATATTCCTACATGTCGACTCGAATGACGGAACTTGTCGGCCCTCTTGTCGAAGGCGACTCGCAACGAGCCCACTCGACCAATTATTCGACGCCTCACAATGACGACTTGAAAGACGTTACTTCTCGGCGTAGCAAGAGGACGACTTCAGCCTCGAGCCTCTCCCGCTGACACAACATCGACGACGCATTTAATGCTTGGCAGGCGCCATCATATCTCTAACCCGATAGCCTTCATGACTCATTGGACCACGTCGGCACCACCATGCCTCAGATCGCTTCACATTTAATGCTGAGGTGATCTCTCTTCCACTCGATAACCAGCACGTATAAAGTAAGTGCTAACGCAGCCGCCAGCCCATACTTTTTCACCGTCATGCTCGGCCGAAGTGACAATTCTACCCTTTCGGCACCACGATAAATAGAAGTACTATTCTAACAAGTAAATGACCTTTTTTTGGATACTTCTAACGTGCGAAATCTAATCTTCTAAGATATATCTGCAAATTATACTATACACAAAAACTCTCACAGTTCTTCATTTCCCCATTCAAGTTCACCAGTTGAATTGATCGTTGGAGGAACCACGGGAAAACCAGTCCATCCACTCACGGGTTTCTATATGTGCAAGTTTCAACCACTCAACTCTGAACTGGATATTCGGGGAAGGAAGCGGCCCCTCATCAACTTCACCCCTATCCAACCATTTTAATTGACTGTGTGATCACTTAACATCAACAGTTTGGTGCCCACTATAGGGCTAATTTTTTTTCCAGAAAATATGCCTAGCTCTGAGGATAGGACTGATCAGTTTCACCCTATAGAACCACACCAGAGTTATGTTACGCTAGGCAAGCTTGAAGAAATAGCTCAGAAGATTTCTCACTCTCCAAGAGAAATTTGCTACCTTTACTAACGAACTTCTCAACCGGCTTCCATAGCCACAGCAAACTACCTCAACTATCCCCCTACCTTTTGGAGACCTGCGGTCGGAGACTCACCCTTCTTCCGGAGCACAGCAAGTAGTCCCGCCTTGGACTCCTCATGCTGCTGCCAAGCAATTGGGAAATCGTGTTGAGTACGCGACACCGCCACCTCGTCCGTTGACTCACCCCGGAGAGCCACGCCGACGTCTTCTTTCTCATTAAGAAATCACCGACAAGAGTTCTAGCCCTGGTCACCTTGGGGACCGTACCAGGGGAGTGGTCTCTAAAACTCTCCTCCATCACCGTACCTCTCCAGCCCCCTCTGCTACAATAAGGGCCTCTGGATATGATCGGGTGTACAGTCCGATCGCAAAACCCATCGGGGGGCATCCCTCTTTCAGATGACCTTATGAATACCCCATGTAAAAAGTTCAAGATGTCGCACGTGAAGAAGTATAAAGGTGAGGGAGACCCCTCCGAGCATGTTCAGAAGTACTATGATGTAATGAGCATGCTCCAAACATCAAAAACAGTCATCTGTCAATGCTTCCCCATCACTCTTTCTGGAAGTGCCAAGCTCTGGTGGAACGCTCTTGAGAAAGAAGTCCCTCAACAACTTCCAACAACTCAGCCGAAAGTTCATCCATCACTTCTTAGCTGACACCAAGCAGAAGTTGTCACCTCATGTGTTGATTCAGATAAGGCAGGGGTATGGAGAGAGCCTTCGAGCCTACTTCAAGAAGTTCTAGACGAAGAGTCTGGAGGTCAATGACCCAAGGAGTGCGGTCGCTATGTCCGTTCTCATGATCGGCTTGCAGAGCAACGAGTTGGCCGACTCGCTTGCTAAAAAGCGAGTCGCCAATTATGAGCAACTAATGACCAAAGCTCACGAATACATGAACATGAATGATACCCGTTCCTTCAACTTCCACTGTAGTGGAGGAAGTAGTGAGGTCCCTCCTCGTCGACTTGACGCCGACCCAGTGGCAGATTATGATGAAGCCCATCAGAACTCCAGTTGCATTCGGGATAAATTGCGAGGGGAAAACCCTCAGAGCAATGCATACATCCCTAATGAAGGGATTGAGCGGCAGCCAAAGCCCATACTTGAGATGGGCAAGATACAACAGCGCCTTATTCTGGCTGTGGCGGTACAACGGCTCATCCCCACTTGACGCTGCAAGTGCAAAGGCCTTGGGGAGCTCGTAAAGCTCGTAGTATTGTTCAAGTTCTCCGACGCAGACCTTGGAGCGGATTGGCGGAAAAAAGAGTGATCATCTCCTCATTGCGGCCAGTGGTGAAAGTCTGAGTAGCCATTGGAAGATTTTGGTTGTAAAAGACTTGGGAAAATTGAGAAAGACAAGCGTCGAAGATTTAGAGCAGGAGTTCGTGAAGAAACTTCTACGCCCTCAATGAGTTATTTATAGTATTCAAGAGGAACACATAGATTAATCTAGACGGTCAGCTCATTTCAAAATGAATGGGCGAGATTCACCATGAAATCTCAAACGTTTCATACGAAACTTGAGGTGTCGCTCCCCTTTACTCCGCATCTCTTCGCTCAAAAATCAAAGCTATGTCATAACTCTCTGATATTTGACAGTGTTATCATGTCGTTTTAAATAATGACATTTTACCTACCTAATAAAGGCTTCTAAAAACTCACTAAATGACGTTTATTCAGTGAACAGTAAGCCAGACCAAGCCGACTCTAAATTGCCGACAACAATCTTCAAAGAACTCTCGGACACTCGCTCCAAGAAGCTCAGACGCTAATTAGCATAAGCAGTCGACTAGATTGGTTCCAGACTTATACAAAAAATAAACACATCAGAAATAACTGCTTAAGTTTGAGACATATTCTCCTAACAAAAGACGAGTGCCCTCAAGTCAGCAGTCAAGTTCGCAAGTCTATATTAGAGCTAAGTCGGAAGAATAAATTGAGATTACATAGCACTAGAAACACAATTCTAGCTCAAAATATCTTTTTATTCATTGATAATGTTTACAAAGTACAATGTATACACATCTACAACAAGAGAGACAGAAAAGTCCTAAGAGGCTAAGAGATGTCTATTCCCGCTCCTGGAATCACAGGCAGGGAGCTGCTGGGAGCAGTCGACGGAGGAGTCGAGCAGTCTCCTCCATCCGACTCCCCCTCTTCTCGCTAAGATCAAATCCCACTCCAAGTGCTTCTACCTCCACCAACTCATCCAGACACTTTGCTAGGGCTAAACATGGTTCGGTCCAAACCGAAAAAATCGACCGACCCGACCCGAAATTAACAATTCGATTCGGTTTTAGTTTTAAATCGGTTCGGGTCGGGTTGAAACTTTTCAACCCGAACCGACCGAATACCCAAACTAAATACCCACTTCCCAGCCGCTCAAACCCGACCCATCTCAAACCCTAAAATCCCATTCCCTCTTTTCAGGCTCCATCCGCCACTTCATCAGATCTCATCCTCTCCTCAGTTCCTCTCTCTCACTCTCTGTCCGCCTCTCTCACTTCCTCTTCCTCACTTCCTCAGTCCTCTCTCTTACTCTCTCTCTCTCACTCCTCAGCCACCAGCCAAACTCCTCAGTCCCTCCTCTCGTTTGAATTCATTTCGCGCATCAACCCTTTCAAGATGAACTTCCTCTTCATCGGTGTCGACTCTCTCTCTCTAAAGCTATAGTCCTCTTACTCCTCTTCTCCTTTGCTAATTTCTCTTCAAAAGGAAGTTTAGATAGGAAGCAGGGTTGCACCGGAATCAGGAGATGTGGGTGTTGCAACTCTGAAGGCAAGTTTCATTGTACTAAGACATTATATTTATTTATTTTAGTGTTTTTCCTTTGTAAATCTTTATAGCTCTCTATCAGGTGTTTGTGAGAAAATCAATGAAAGTTTGTAGCAGAGAAGAAGATAAAGAGAGCGCAAAGGAGAAGCAAGAAGAATCCAAGGTTGAATTTAAATTGATCATGAATGTGGTTTGGTCTAAGCTTGTTAAGAATCCAAATTCATATGCAAGTCTCTTGGGCTTAAGCTGGGCTCTAGTTTCTTGCAGGTACTATCTCTCTCTCTTCTCTAATTAACTTGCAATCTGTTCAACTTTTTTCTTTTAATCAAAATCAATGCAGATGGAGATGGGGAATACAGAAGCTTGTTATATTGGAGAATTCAGTGACAATGTTATGAAATGCTGGGTTGGGAATGGCTATGTTTAGTTTAGGTGAGTTTTGTACCAAAGATTAAAGATTTTGTGGATCACATTTGAAATGAAGATGTGAAATAAAATTGTCTTTTCAGGATTGTTCATGGGTTTGCAAACAAGGATAATAGCCTATGGAAAGAAACATGCAACACTTAGAATGCTGATAAGGTTCATTGCTGGTCCTGCTGTAATGGCGTTAGCTTCTTTAGAAGTCGGCATTAGAGGCAAAACACTCAAAGTCTCTATAGTCCAGGTAAGACGATAGTTCATTTCCTACACACACAAATGCTCCTTATAAAATGCTCCTTATAGTTCAGACAAAACACTCAAAGTTTGATGAAGTTAAAACCGAACAAACAATACAGAACCGTACCGAACCGACTTGCAACGGTTCGGTTCGGTTTTGAAAAATGGACAGTTCGGTTCGGTTGTTCAAAATTTGATAAAAACCGAACCGTGCTCAGCCCTACACTTAGCTATCATGGAGGATAGTGGAAGCTGTCGGGTGGGTTCCTCATCTCATCTAGAAGCTCCGCCGACAAATAGTCATACCCAGCCTTGCAGGCGATCGCTACTTCAGTCTTTCCGGTTAAGCTCTAGTGATACCCCTCGATGATCTCCTAGCGATGAGGCTCCGACTCAAGATAGACATTATGGCTTTGGGCCACCGCCAAAGACTCCTGCAAATAGTCATTATGACATTATCGCTAATTCAGTCTTTCCGGTTAAGCTCTAGCGATACCCCTCGATAGGCATTATGGCATTATCGCTACTTCAGTCTTTCCGGTTAAGCTCTAGCGATACCCCTCGATGATCTCCTGGCGATGAGGCTCCGACTCAAGATAGGCATTATGGTTTTGGGCCACCGCCAAAGACTCCTGCAAGTGGGTGACCTCTCCCTGAAGCTTGACGAGCTCTGCATGCTCCTCGTCCATCTGACATCTTGCGTGCATCGCCATCTGCTTCTCCATCTCGACCTGCGCTATAGCGCGGTCCCTCTCTCAGAGAGCCTCATCCAGCCTCCTGGCTTTCCTATTGCTCCCCTCCAGCTCATGCCTGAGCCCCTCGACCTTGGAAGCTCTTGAAGCTTACGTCTCCGCAACCCATTCCGTGTCAACCCCTCTACTGGGTCTCAAGGAAACAACCTCCCCTAAAGGCCTGAGATATAAAGTCCGGATTTGTTCCATCTGATCGAATATCTCTTGCTCCATCAACACCCTCTGGACCAAGTAGCTCCGAGGACATAGGTGGAGACCGAATATCACTTGCTGCACCAACCCCCGAAGGAACTCCTCATCCTGAGGGAGCCAAAACTGCTCAATCGCTTTCGAGTGAGTCACGCGAGAACAAAGAATTGTTCCCCTAACGTCAAGGTGGTGAGGGGGGTGGAAACGATGCTCTAGGTCGGGCTCTCGTGTATGTCGAGGGCCGACCCCCGAAGTCCCGATGAGGTACTACCACATCTTATCCAAATCTTCCTACGCAATCTCAGCGACACAGTGGGCATATGGATACTCTAGCCCAGCAGGAGGCGTCGTCTCCTCTTCGACCTTTGGCTCTTTCCTTGACGAGTTTCAACCCGCTTATGATGACGGATGACCCTCCCTCATTGAGCAGGGAGCTCTGGCCTCAGCTCCCTCTTCTTGAGGAGCCTCGACTGGCTCTTCCCGGACCGACTTGTCCAGATGGATGACATCGGGCCGCCCGAGGTTCCTGTTCCTCATCTTCCCTCTAAGGCCGCCTCCTCCGACAATGGACGAGAGTGGGAGCAGGCTCCTCAGTTCTCGTCCTTTATTGGAGGAATGTCTCGACGAAGATGCTTCACGAGCCTAGCAGACGGCCCCTCCTAAGAATCGTCCAAAGGAGCAGCCGGCACCATCGTCGTTTCCGCTGTCCCTAAGATAAGGGCTGAAGCCCTCTCCTGATCCTTGGCAGGAGGCACTACCAACACATGGATAACCCACAGGACCGAACCGTTAAGCAGATGGTCGACTCGACAAGAATTAACGTACGCCTTGACCTGGTCAAGCGCATCCCTATCGGCATCGAGCAAGTGACCCTCCATGAGGCCCTCCCTTCTTATTTTAGGGCAATTTGAGCAGCCCAACTCCAAGTCGTCCCCCACGACTCAGACAAATTTTTCTTTCCAGTCATTGTGCGAGTCAAGCAGGTCAGTAACGAGCTTGAACTTCTCAACCATTTGAAAATTATAATGGGGTTTAGTCTGGTTCACATTCACAGCTACCAGCCGACCCAAAACCCGTAAGGATGGCTTTATTGCCAATCAGTGACAGATCACCATGAACCCCACCAGGATGGCGATAACGTTCAGCTTCATCTGCGCCAGCGATACCCCTAGCAACGTGAACACTTGATGGATGAATGAGTGCAGGGATAGCCACAAACCGCATTCCAAGTGCCTCAATATAGGGGATCCCGATCCGATCCATAATCGTAAACGGCCTCCGACCTCGTCGAAGCCATTAGATCATACTCCCGAGGAATATCAAACCTTTCGTGGAGCGCCTTCATCTGTGTCTGGGTCAGTTTAGAGTGGAGCTCTGCCAGGAGAGATCGTTGATCAACAGGATCAGATGCCATCGAACATTGCAGAAATAATCATCGGAAAAAGATGAACGGGAAAGGTCTTAAGTCCTCTAAAGGGAATTTTAAAAGGCAATAACAGTCATCTCTCTGACTTTAGCTCTATATATAAGCAGCTAGACCCATAACTGTCGGAATCTGGACCGTCGGATCTAATTCTGGCCAACGACCAAGATTAATTATCAAAATTCGAAGCGACATCTCAGAGAATGAGGCGCACCCCACTAACCTCAAATAGCCCGTAATCTGCCAAGAAAAGTGGAGCTATAGCAGTCAAAAAGAATATGCAATGACGTCAGCCATGCAGATCTGAAGGGACTTTTCAGTTCTCACATTTAATGCACACCCACGTCCTTCTAAAGCGATTCACATTTCACTCGGACCCAGCTAAAGCCGACTCCAAGCGAAAAGGCCAACTGTTATGGTGATTTCAATCATCAAAGTGTAACCATTTGCCAGCAACAGACATGTATACTTCTGCATACAATGTCCCAATCAAATTAGCGGCCCAAGACCAACAAGGGTTCCAACTTAGCTGACTCATCAAGTCGACAATCTTTCATGTCGACTCGAATGACGGAACTACGCCTAGCAACGAGCCTACTCGACCAAATGTTTGACGCCTCATAATGACTCGAAAGGCGTTACTTCTCGGCGAAGTTAGAGGTCGACTTCAGCCTCGAGTCTCTCCCGCTGACACAACGTCGACATCGCATTTAATGTTTGGCAGGAGTCATCATACATCTAGCCGCGATAGCCTTCATGATTCGACGATCAGCACGTGTAAAGTACTGACGTAACCGCTAGCCCATACTTCTTCACCGTCATGTTGTGATAAGCCGAAGTTACAATTCTACCCTTTCTGTACCATTATAAATAAAGGTACTATTCTAACAAGAAAATGACTTTTTTTGGATACTTCTAAGGTTCGAAATCTGATCTTCTAAGATATATTTGTAAATTATACTACACATAAGAACTCTCATAGTTCTTTATTTTCCCCCACTTAAGTTCACCAGCTTATTTGATCGTCGGAGGAACCACGGGGGAACCAGTCTCCATCCTCTCACAGGTTTTTATATGTGCAGGCTTCAGCCACTCAACTCAGAACTGGATATTCGGAGAAAGAAACAACCTCTCATCAACTTCACACATATCCAACCATTTTAATTGATTATGTGATCACTTAACATCAACACTTACTAAACAAACTCACCCACCCCCCAAAACCCCCCACAATCCCTTCTTTTCCTGTAAATATTGTTTAACATTTTAAAAGTATTCTCCAAAAATAAAGTTTCATGAAAAATGTTCGATGACATTGTTTTAACATTTTATCTTATAGTTTTAGGCACATTGCAAAATTTGAGAACTATTTCTAATCCCTTCAATTATCATAAATCATAATGTGTCCAAGCTTTAGTGGTTTCATAGACTATCTGACCAATTTTCATCTAAGTCATAATGCTTACTGGAGATGCTTAATCTAAATTAATGTTAAGCTGCAAATCATAGAAATTGTATGTGTACAACTCAATAGCAACATGGTATAGAATACCTGTATCTCTAAGAAGCAAAACTATCTTTTTCTTGGATATGAATAAAAAAGAGTACGCATTCACTAACCCATGCCAACATTAAGCAAAAAGCTACTGCCGCTAACTGATAGAGTTCATTCGTCTGCAAGTTTAACCAAAAGTATAATTAATATAAAAAATCTTATAAAAATAAGACATAGAAACATTAACAATAGAAGGGAACAGAACAATAGAAGTACACTTAGTGCATAAACAAATATGTGAATCTACAAGGGCAAAACACTGATAGAGATGAGATTGCCAACAAATATAATTTAGTAATTTTAGTTAAGCATCAATAAGACAAGCATCATCGACAACACAGCAACAAGTCAAAAGCTTTAAGTCCCCATAGTACAATAAGAATTCATCTCATCATTCTCATATCATTCAAAAATGATCCAACAAATGGATTAGCAACAACATTTGAGGCTATTACAAGAGCATTCAAGCACGAAATTTCCTCGAACACTCACATACTTATTCATGTTTAAACAAGGTCAACTAGAAGGAATAGGAAAGCACACAAAGAGCTGCACTGATGCACCACTTTATTAACAAATTAGGTTGTTCGAACCAATATGACATTGCAATTGCTCTCCTTTCCTTTGAAGAAACACAATATCAATGGTTCGGCATCGGATTTTTTTTTATAAAAACCCTCCTTCAATGGTTTTTAGAGGAACAAGTTTAAGGAGTAAATTCCAAAAAAAGAAATCTTTGTGAACCATTGGAGAAGCATAAAAAAGAACAATAATCCAGACCCTTTTTAAACTACATAAAATTTGAGGATGACATAGATCCTCATTTCACACCATGAAAATCATCCATCAAATTTACGTCAAATAAAAGAATTCATCATATGCAATAAACAACCTATCTCATAACCATCAAACTGAGTGGATAGGCACTGAGGTGGAACCTATTCTACACATGAGATCTACTCTGGTCATTTAACTGATGTCCTGGTTGACATCAGCCAGAGCAGCTAGAATCAATAATATAATTCTTTACATATGAAAGACTACAACCCAGTAGTTTATCTAATTGGTGAACATGACAGTTTTCTTTTGGCAATGAGTCACATGATAATGGACTTAATGATTATGTACATGTATATCATGTACTTAATGATTATGTACATGTAACATTTACAAGTAAATGAGCGTGATTTTTTTTAAAGAACTTTTGGAGGGAAAGGCATGTATAATTCTATCACATGCAATAATACCACATTCTAATTACTTGAAGTTGAAATTTTTATTTACTAATTTTGATATAACTCTTTCTTATTGATGCGAAACATAATTCAGACCCAAAAATTAAATAAGAAAATCAATGAATTTTGGGTTCAACATAACGAAACAGATGAAGGCTTTTATTTTTGGTGATGTAACTGGCTTTGGGTTCAATCTTTGGTGATGTAACTGGCTTTGGGTATATGAAATAGAAAAAGAGTTAAGGCTTTGATTTTTATCTTTTTGATCTTTTCTAGAATTAGAAGAGATTGCAATAATAGAGAAATAGAGGGTTCGGCGGATTTGTTTTTATAGGAGATATTTTTGAACAAATTTGAAATTGAATTACTTGACATCAACCAAAAAAGTTTAGGAAAATTGTGAGCATGCCCCAAATCCAAGTCGATATGAGCAACCCCGTCAACCTTTCTCCCATGTGTAAAAACCCAAAAAACTAATGTTTTAAATGTCGGCCGACTTGTCGGGCAATGTCGGTTTGAGGGCTCGAGCGATACGATTTGGACAATTTCAAGTCGTATGTCATTTTTCAGGACCAAGTCGGATATATCGGGGCTATATCGCGCATATCGACTGATTTTTCAGCTTTGAAAAATCGTCTGATATGACCTTTTTTTGAAAAAAACTGTTTGGATTTAGTGATGAAAATCCAACCCCATTTGACCTGTTCTGCAGTTAATAAGGGTTTCCTTATGAACCCGATAGATTAAAATTGAAAAAGACTAGGGCTGCGTCGCTGCAACTTGGGAACCCATCAGCCTTCACCGCTTCTTCGTTTCTCTCGTTCTCATCCATGTGAGTTCAGAATCCATCGCCACGTCATCCTCTCTCTCTCTCTTCCCTGCGATGTCAGAACCCACCCACGGCCATCGCCGCCTTCCTGTTCCTCTCCCCTACGACATAGGAAGCCAAGTTTCGAGCTTCCCTCAGCCTCAGATGAGTATCTGAGTCTCTGACTCTTCTCTCTTTCTCTCTCATTCTCTCTCTCTGAGTCTCTCTCTACGTCAATGATTTTTTTTCCCTTTGCAATTTGTACTGAGCAAAAAGGCCTACCTCTTGAATCATTTTTCTGGCTCTCAAAATCAACAAGGTAAGCCTTCCCTGTCAAATAAAATTGGTTTTAAGTTAGTAATTGAATTATAGAATTGTCATGCAACAAATTCAAATTCATACCAAGTTGCTGCCTCTCTTGAATGCGTACCAAGTTGCTCAAATTAGATTGAAATCAGCCCAAGCAATTGAGAGCTGAAATTATTACCCTATGTTTTACTTTTAGGAGATTTCATTATTGTTTGAATTCTAATGCATAGGAATACTTAGTCAATAACTGTTTGAAGATTTCATCATTTTAATAAGCTTTGAATAATGGACTTAGTAGTTGGTATTTTAATAAGCTTTGAATAATGCATACTTATTTAATTTGTCAATTTAAAATATGCAATTGATTTAAATATATACATGTAACTGGTTGTCTACATCCATATTTGTCGTCTTGTTAATTATTGTAGGATCATGTCGTCAAAAGAACAAGGATCTACTAAACCTCCAACAACACCAAAACAGGGCGGTAAAGATCCATGTTGGCTATATTGGGAGAGAGTTAGTTCTGACACAAACAAAAGTTAGATGTAATTATTACACTCAAGTCCTTAATAGCGGGTTTAGCTGATTCAAACAACACCTAGCCGGAAAGAGGGGAAGTGTGTGAAAGTTCTCAATGATGTTAAGGTAAAAGTTTCTGAAATTATAGAGAATGCAAAGAAGAGCAAGGATGAGGAGATAAAATATGCATAACTTTTGAGTGGGGTGCATATTGGGAAGGATGAGGAGCATAACTCATTGAGTAGTCAAAGAAGCTCGTCATCCTCCTACAAGGTAGTTAGATCAATGGACTCCTTCGCTGCTCATTCTCCCAAGGAGATTGCCCTAATAGTAGCGAAGGGGAAACACCGACAATGGACTCCAAGCTTAAAAATAAGAAAAGCGAGGATGTATTGCGATACATCTCCAAATGGTTCTATGAAGCCAACATTCTATTTCATACCGCCACACTTCCCTCTTTCCATCAAATGCTACAAACCATTGGCTTGTTTGGAAGTCATTTACAAGCTCCACTGATGTATGAATTGAGTGAGACATATATACGAAAAAAGGTGGAGGAGACAAAGGAGATTGTTGAGAACTTTAAAACGACTTGTGTTGTCAAATGGTTGTTCCCTAATGACCGATGCTTGGAGTGATTGAAAGTCTAGAAGCATCATGAACATAGTTGTACATTCTGCTAGGAGGGTTTGTTTTTTTGTCTTCATATGATGCATCGGCCGATAAGCACAATGCTCAATATATTTGTGACTTTGTAGACAAGACTATTGATCATATAAGGGGGGCAAATGTGTTGCAGATTGTCACTAACGGAGCTTCAAACAATATGTCGGCCTCTAAGTTGTTGGAGAAGAGGCAAATATATTTTGGACGACTTGTGCTGCACACATATTGAACTTGATGTTGTGCGATATAGCTAAGATAAAACTCATTCGTAATGTCATTTTATAAGGAGTATCAGTATTTTTATATAATCATATCAAGCCTATTTAATTATTTAAGGAGTTCACTAAGGGTGATCTTGTGAGACCGAGGATTACGAGATTTGCTACAGTGTTCCTTTCTCTACAGAAAGGTTTTAAATATCGGTTATCGGGGATTTATCGGACGGTCAAAATCCTTACCGGATAGCGGAAATCGGGGATATATCGGGGATAAGTAGTATTTATCGGAGTGATATACTGGATGATGTGTATATATAATATAACAATTAAAAAATATAATCTAATCATGCTTAATAAAATATAATATAACAATTAAAAAATATAATCTAATCATGCTTAATAAAATATAAACATACCAAAATATAAATCATGTTTAGAATCATTAACAAATTATAGAAAGCGAAACTTGCATCATAGTCTTGAAAAAATATAATGTTAGTCAAAATGGGCCAATAATCCCGATAATCCCAATAAAAGTCTTACTTATCGGCCGATAAATGCCGATAAAGCCGATAAATCGCCGATAAACCTACAAAAACGATAACCGATTAAAAATCCAATTTATCCTTGCCGATAAAGCCGATAAATCGCCGATAAACCTACAAAAACGATAACCGATTAAAAATCCAATTTATCCTAGCGGATAGCTCCCAAATCCCGCCGATAAACCTACAAAAACGATAACCGATTAAAAATCCAATTTATCCTAGCGGATAGCTCCCAAATCTGATAACTCGGCCGATAATATCGATTATCGGCCGATATTTAAAACAGTGCTCTACAGTCGTTAAGGGATCACAAGAAAGTGATGAGGCAAATGTTTCTCTGACCAATGGACAAATTGTAGTCTTTCAAGAATATCATGGCAAAAAGATATATTTTAATTGTATCCATTTTATTCATTTGATAATTTATTTTTCATTGATTGTTGAATTCTTTGTATGATTGTAGGTTACAAAGATAATTGCTAGCAACAAGTTTTGGGATAATATAGACTTTGCCTCAAAGTATTCACTCCTCGAGTGAAGGTCCTTCGAAGAGCTGATGGTGATAAAATCGATTCTATGAGATTTATATATGGAGACATATTGGTGGCTATGGAGGAGTTGAAAGTGGCCCATAGGGATGATGAGAAGGACAATCTCATATTGAAATGATTCACCCGAGATTTAAGAAGAAAGTGGAACGCTACATAAAGCAGGCTACTTTTTGAATCCTTATTTCTATTACCTAGCTTACACGAAGATTGAAGGTGACGAAAGAAAAAGTCTTGCTGGAGTATATGCATAGACTCTATCCTA